GTCATTGGTATGATAATCAATTTTTTATGTTAATGTCTTTTTTAGATGGCGACACGCCCATGTACATACTCTACATGGCCTGAAATAAGCATGACGAATGCTATCAAAGCAGTTGAAGAAGAGGGGTTGACAGTTAGACTTGCAGCGGAGCTATATGGCATTCCCAAATCAACACTTTATGACAGGATCAGGGGAAATGTTCAACATGGAACTAAACCTGGCCCAGTGCCGTATCTTACAAAAGAAGAAGAGGTTATTTTGGCTAAGTTTTTAATCAAATGTTCTCAGATTGGATTTCCCCGCACAGTTTCAGAAGTTCTTGCACTAGTAAAACAAACAATTCAGTCAAAGGGTTTAAGTGACGTCTCAATTTCTTATGGATGGTGGCAGAAATTTTGTAGCAGGCACAGTGAATTATCACTTCGTACTGCTGTGCCTTTAAGTCTTTCGAGAGCCATGGCCACTGATAATAGTGTCATACAAAAGTATTTTGATATACTTGAAGACACACTTAAAGAAAATTCTCTATTCAACAATCCAACTCGCATATTCAACTGTGATGAAACAGGACTCCCATTGAATCCTAAATCTTTGAAAGTTGTGAGTGGTCGTGGAGCTAAGAATGTCAGTCAAATCACTGGAGAAGGGAAGTCTCAAATCACAGTTCTGGCATGCACTTGTGCAGCTGGAGTACCGTTGCCTCCATTTGTAATATTTGATCGTAAGACCTTTAATGATCAGCTAATGGTAGGAGAAATACCAGGTACACTTTACGGCTCATCTCCAAATGGATGGATCAGTTAGAGAGCTGTTTTTGTACTGGTTTTGTAAGCTGTTTTTAACGAGTGTTCCTAGGGTACGTCCTCTCCTTCTCCTGATGGATGGTCATTCTACTCATTATGGTCCTGACCTTATCAAGATAGCAGCTGAAGAGCAAATTTTAATATTTGTATTGCCACCCAATGCCACTCATTTAACACAGCCACTTGACAAAGGGTGTTTTGGACCATTAAAAACTGCTTGGAAGGCTGTGTGTCATGAGTTCTGCACTAAAAACCCTGGTCGTGTGGTAACCAGATACGATTTCTCTGTATTATTTGCTGATGCATGGAGAAGGTCAATGACACAGAGAAACATTGCAAGTGGCTTTGAAGTAACTGGTATATGTCCTTTCAACAGAAATGCTATTAAAACTGGCAATGACAAGCAAGAAACCATCAGCCGTTCACTGTTAGACCAGACTGGTCTAGCATACATACCGCTCTATAGTCCAGATATAAAGAGAACGAGGGATCATGATTCTTCATTCAATTCTAGTCTCTTGGAGAGATCACTTTCAGAGAATGATTTATCGCAAGCTGTCACTCCAATGCGAAGAGTAATGCCTATAGAGTCTTTTCTGAAAACTCCCAGTCATCCCAGTAGCAAGCCCACCCTGAAGCCTAAATCATGCGGAAGAGTATTGACTAGTGTTGAATTCATGACATGTATAGAGGAAAAGGAAAGAATGAAGCAGGAAGCCTTGAAGGAGAAGGAGCGTAAAAGAATTGCTAGACTTGAGAACCAGAAGGAAGCTAATAGAGTAAAAGAGTTGAAGAGAAGTGCAAGTAATATATCTTATTGTGAAAAATTTAATCTGATATTGGACCATATTTTTAGATTTTACTATGAGTGAGCACAGGCAATTCTCTAAGAGGTTTGAAAATGGGTATGACATTCCGGATGAGAGGTATGAGTTATGGGTTCAGTTATATCGTCCTAATATGACATCTCAAGGTGGGTGTTGATGAATTCATATTATTATGTTGAACATAATGTATTTATTAATATTAAGATTCAAATGCTGAAGATGAAGACCAAGATTCCTTGAGTAATGGTATGTAACAGTAAATTAGTATTTCATTCATTGGTAACTGTAGACACTGATGAAGGAGAAGAGCTTTCAATGAGTGCTGCAAACAGTATGCATGAAACATAATATTATTCTATAATGCTTTATAATTGTGTAGGTATAGAGACACAGACACATACTGTCACAGCTAATAACAGTAAAGGCCTTTAAAATTAGCTGCAATACTTTTTATTATTAATGTAGGAGCAAAAAGAGTTGCACCTATCAAGGGAACCGCTGCTACTAAAGGTATTCGTATCACTATTAATTATTCTGATTTATTTTTAGAGACAGTTGATGCCTTTGTTACTTCTAATGCTAAGAAGGCTGTGAGGTCTAAAGGTATGTCTCAAATAATTTATGCTTGTCATTATTTTTTAATTAGAGACAGCAATCGCTGTACCTACTACTAGGAGTGTTAGATATAAAGGTATTGTAATATTAATAGTTGTTAATGTAATGGTTCATGATAATAGAGAGAGTTTTACCTATTGAAGAAAGTGTTAGAGCTAAAGAAAGTGTTAGAGCTAAAGGTATTTATTAAGTTTTTTGTTTATTTTTATCTATGCAAGTATAGAGACAGTTGAACCCACTACAGATATTAGTACTGCAGCCAAAGAGAGCAATAGAACTAAAGGTACTATTATGCAATTTTTGAACAAAGACAATTGTGCCTGCCTACGCAAGTATTACAGGTTTTTAATTGTTATTATTGACTTATGTAGAAACAGAGAGAGTTATACGTACTGCTAAGGGGAGTAAGGGAAGTGTTAGAACTAAAGGTATTAATATACTAACTTTTTATAAATGTTGATGTAATATAGAAACAACTGTAAGTCCTGCTAATGCAACTACTGCTAAGAAAAGTGCTAAAGGTGTCACATAATTCTTTTATTTTATTTTATTATTTTTAATATAGAATCAGCTGATTATCCTACTGCAAAGAAGAGTGTTCAAAGTATACAATAATTTATTTTGCTATTAATTTTATAGTTTATGCTTAGGTGCACATAGAGTTGATACAAGAAGGAGTTTCAGAACTAAACGTAGTAAAATTTTAATTATTATTATCTTTATTATTATTGATAATTACAGAAATGGAAAGAGTTGGACAATGTACAGTGAATAATGGTATTGCTAAAGGTATTTATTATTAATTAATAATTTATGACGATTTATTATTCAATAATACAGATGCAATCCCTCCTACTACTTATGCTACCAAAAGGAATGTTAAATCTAAAGGTAAAGGATAACATCTTGACATAGTCTAATTATACTACAATAATAGTCAAGTCTGATTGTTCCCTAAAGCAATGTTCACATCCTGATGAGTCTAATTGGGTCTTTTGTTGCAGCTGCAACCAGTGGTATCACTGTTATTGTTATAAAATTTCATTTCAAAAGGCGAAATCAAAAAACTTTAAATTTACATGTAACAACTGTAAATAATAACTAATTTTAATAATAATCAATAATGTTAGGCGTGTCCGTTTATTGTAGAAGAAGTTAAATATTTTTTATGGTAGCTGAGTGTACCTAAGAAGCCGGCTGTGTGATCCTTTTTGAAGAAGACAGTCAGTACTAAAGTTCTGGTGGTATAAAACTATTCTTCGAATAAAGTTTGCTTCGTTGTGGATAAGTGACGAAAATTGAGTGAACTCGGCCGATTATCGTGTGAATCCACGAAGTGTGTTTAGCAAGTTATATCTTTACAAAGAAAGAAGGTGATGCTTTGATTTTTACCATGCAAACAGGTATTATAATGATCTAAATCTAGTGCAAGAATCACTGAAAAATCATCTTAAGTTTTAAAAATATAACTGTCCGAATTTTGATTAGTCCGATATTTGATTGTTTACTCTATCTAAATATACACACCAGTTGGGTATGTTACACATACAGAATCTACAAAAGTGTTATCCTTTGACCAAAAACATCCATGAATACTATTATTGATTTATGTTCCTGTTATAATCAATGATCATGTGATCATGTTTAGTTAGGGTGGCTGTTCTGGTTAAGTATATACCACAATAAAAATGGCAACAAGAGGAACATCAGAAGATTTCATGAATGTTTGTGACAGAGAACTAGGTAAAGTGTCTATATTCTAATAATCTAATGTGATAGGTTTCTTTCATAGGTATTGATGACTTTTATGATGTGTACGATGAAATCAAGCCACTTTCTGCTCATTGGAAGCAAATTGCCATTTCGTTTCGTCTCAGAATAAACACTATCAATACCATAGAAGCTAAACACAATGGAAAAGTTCTCAATTGTCTTCAGGAGGTTCTTGAGTGTTGGCTAAAGAAAGATTATGATTTCAAACGTCATGGTGTTCCTTCCTGGAGGAAGGTGTGTGTGGCTGTCAAAGAAGGAGCAGATGACCCAGCATTAGCTGATAAAATAGCACAAGAAAATTCAGCTACTACTGGAGGAACTACTCCTCATCCTCTACCAGCTACTACTGGAGGAGCTACCCCTCACATTGAAGAAGCTGGTAAATGATTTATAATTTTTTTTGAAATTAATTTGAAGATAGGCCAGCATAATGTCAATTTTTAAATTTCAGTGTATGGTTTGACCTTTTGACACATGCAAAAAGCTGGAATAGGTATATACCCAATGTAAGGACCAGCATCATAATAAACTTATGCAACTGTCATCTACATTGTAAAATTTTGATACTGAGATAATAGACAGATTATAAATATTATATATTTGTTACATTTTTACAATTATACCTCGGGTTTGCTGTAAACTTAAACCATGCATTTACATAAAATTTCTAGGATCAGGTAAACTTTGCTCATTTTTAGGTTCTACAGCCATTATTTCAACTCCCTCTATCTATGTTCCTAAGACCATAATAGATTTCAAGATTCACAGAGAGTTATCTAAATTACAGGAGCAATTCGTTGAAGGGATTCAAAAAACAATAGAAGACTATTCAGCAAGTGGATATGATGCGCCAGATTTTATTGAATACATCACAGCACGTATGGTCACTTTACTGAGCCCCCATGAGAATACTCTAGATAAAGTACAAGCAGTTAGAAAAGAGTTCAAAGATATAAAAACTCTAAAGGATTTTTTTGGTTTACTGCAAGACAAGTATACATCATGGTTCAAGCATCAACCAATAACGAAGCTTGTTTATGATTATCCCCTCGAGTATCTGGATCCACATGATTATGACTATGAAATAGATGCACCAACTTTTTGGTCTAGATATAAAGACCGTTTACATGAATACTTTGAGAAGTGGATTACAGTAGCTGATCCTACTTCATATGGAATAACTGATGCTCCTTCTGGTGAACAAATACTCATAGTTAAAGTTGATCGAGGTGACTACAATCAGAATGACCTCTACTTCTTACGCAAAGCAATACCAGCAGAACTTGACAAACCTGAGTTAAAACTCTACCTTTGCCAAGTTCTTCCGAATTAAAATTCTAATCATTATTTTAGGATTTTTTCTACATGCAATTAATAATTCTATTCTGTAGATGACACATTACTTTAGATTTTACAATTGATAATAACAGATTCTGTTTTTAAATATAAACTGCTGGAAGGCCTGTGAAAATAAACAATAGCAAGTCAAACATTTAGCAATAACTTACTTAATGGCTGTACAATAACAGTGACTGTAGTTTCTCTGATAATACCTGGTAAATCAATGTGTTGTTTTACAAGTGTAATTACCACTAGCTGCTCTGTCAATATCCATTAAAGTTAAGTTTAAAGGAGGATTATTAATGACAGGTGTTAGTTCAATACCATTACTATCATTAATCCATACATAACGTGGTACACCAGTATTACCAAGATTAGAACATGTTAATGTTAAATTAGATCCTTCAGTGATATTAACAGTGCCATTAGGAAATATTGATGGGTTCAGAAAGACTATTTTTGAATATTAAAACATATAGACAAAAATTAATATGGTTAGCTCACCAAAATACCCAAAAGTGATGATGCTTTGTTGGCCAGCAGTTGACGATGAGCATGTTGTAGTATCACCAACATTCACAACATCATCAGGATACTGAAGACTAAGATACATAGTGTTGAAAGTACTTGATAGATTAACATTTCCATTAAAATCCTCTTCATTTAGTGTAACATTACTTTTCATCCATATGCCACCAGAAAAAGCCCAAAAGTTGCCTTGATTATCAGAGAACCAGCATGAATACATAATGGCT